ACATTCTTAAATCTAATCCTGCAGATTTCCAAATATTATTCTTTAATTGAATCATTTGTAAACTTAAAACATCTTGTCTAAGATCATCACCAACTTTTTGTATAACCATAATATTATCTCCTAATGGATCTACATTTTCTAATACTAACATCAGTGGTTTCTTTTTACTACTAAATACATTTCCAGTATTTGGAACTGGTTTTTTTATTCTAAATCGTGAATCTAATGGTAATGACATTTCTTCAGGATATTTTAATTTTGCTAATGAATCTTTAAGTAATTGTTTTTGTTCTTCTTTTACTTCTATTTGTTTCACTTTATTAGCAATAACAACTAACTGGTTTTGAAATGTTACTTCATTATATAACTCTGTTCTATAATTTTCACACCCATTTAAAAATGCCTCTAATAGCACTCCATATCGTTCAGTTACTCTATTATCATGCATCTCAGCTTTTAAAAACCAAAAGAATTGATGTCCAATAATGTTTTTATTTCTTAATGCTCTTCTTAGTAAAAAATATGCTAAATTACTTTGATGATGTAATTCAAATTTTAATGCTTGAACAAGTTGAGGAAGAAAATTAACTAATTCATAATCTTTCATTGCATCTAAACATTTTAAAGCAAATAATCTTACTTGTTCATCTGGAAATCTAAAATCCAATAACTCTAATGCTTGAGTTGGTTTAAGTAATGGCCATTTATTTAATAATCTATGTAATTCTAATACTTCACTTTGTTGAGTAAAATCAACAGCAGAAACTAAACGTGCTAATGATCCAGGTTTTGTTTTTTCAACTAGATACCTATATTTCCATAATAATCTACAATCCTCTTGACTAAGTATTGTTAATGGATCAGCTTCAACAACATATTTAAATCTTAGTGTATGTTCAGAATCAATTTTAATAGAATCTATTATGTTAGTATTTAATTCTTGTTCATTTGCAGTAAAAGTATTCATTTTAACAGGTTTATTAAATTCTATCATTCGATAATGTAACTTACAGGTATTTGAAGAAGTATTTTCACAACACATCATAATAGGATTTGGTTCAATTCTTTCCCACATTCCAACATTAAATAATCCTTTCATAAAATAACCATTATGGTCAACTAATTTACAATTAATAGTTGCTAAACAAATATCTTTTTTATTGGTTTCTAAGATTGGTAAATTAATAGGAGTATCTGTCATATAAATTGATAATGTTAATCTTGTTTCTTTAGGAAGAGTTGATATAAGTATATTAAATGTCATCATTATAGGAGAATTTAAATGTAATTTACCTTCTTTAATTTGATACACTGGCGTAAATTCTTGTCTAACTAATAAACGAGTTCCATAATGTAATGAACCAGTAATATAAATTTTTACATCTTCTTCAAGATTTACTATTTCACTATCATCTTTTAATTTAGTTATTTTATAATGCTTAATTCCTTCTGCAGAAATAATTTGAATACAAACAGGAGTTTGACATTCTCTTTGAGAAAGATAGCGAGTTTCATCTTGAATAAGATTCCAATTATTATTTCCAACAAATTGATCAAAATATTTCATCATTTTAATAGTACTTTCATTCCATAGATTATAGTGCATATTTTCTCTA